CATGTGTGGGTGGGTGTGTGGGTGTCACATCACATGCACCGTGACACAACGTCACCATTCCCGTTACAAGTAATGCTCACATGTGTGCGTGTGCGTGTGTTTGAAGGGCTGAGAGCAGCGCATCCTCCGGTGGCTCTGGATCGCACCGCCTGCGGTTTAAAGGGCAGAAGGACTCAAAGAAGAAGAAAAAGAAGAAGCGTGACAAGGACAGCGAGGCGGAAGGCAGCAAGGACACCGCAAAGGTGGGTTGCTTGTTGGTCGTGATGGTGTTGTGTTGTTGTTGTCGTCGTTGCTGTTCTATGAGTACGCGCCCCCTGCTGCTTGCTTTTTTGCTTTACTCTGCTTCTCTCACATCGTTTGCTGCGTCGCCGTGTCTGTCTTGTGGCGAGCAGACACCCGAGGACGAAATTGCAGAGATGAACGCACTCCGCGCAAAACTGGGCATGGCTCCTCTCAAGTAGCTCGCTTGCGCAGATGTTCATGTCTTTGTGTTAGTGTGTGTGTGTGTGTGTGTGTGTCTGTCTGTCTGTCTGTCTGTCTGTCTGTCTCTTCGTGTATGTCGTCAACAACTGTGGCATTGCCCTGATCGTCATTTCCATCTGTTTTTGTCACATCACCAAGTAAACGAGATAGATTCGAACACCCTGTGTGTGTGTGTTCGTTTGGTTTCTTGCTGGCATGTAACGTGCAGGCAACAAACAACAAGGGAATTGTTTTGTACAACTGAAGTGTGAAATGACATGTGACAACTTCACAGCCCACACAGGAAGGAGACTGGTAACAGAGACAACGCCGGGGCAAACAGCACAGGCCCCATCATGTACAGCAGAGGAAGGGTGCAACCACAGAAGAGCGCAAACGGACATTTTGTGTGTGTGTCTGTGTGTGTCTGTGTGTCTGTGTGTCTGTGTGTGTCTGTGTGTGGGTGTGTGGGTGTGCTCTGCACTATGCGCGGATGAGCCCGCTGTGCGCCCATGACGCCCTTCGCCGGGAGACACGGGGCTTCTGCAGCAGCAGTTGCTGGATCTCAAGCATTCGCAGAATGTCGACGAGGTTGGAGATGACGCCCCTTCCCCCACCCCTTTGGTCACCCTCGATGCTCTGCCCTGCAGCTCTTGCAGCCGCGGCAGCAGCGACACGAGGATGGCATACAGCTGTCGGTGGGTGGTTGGGGGGCCGGAGGATACAAGACAGGGGTTGTTGGTGTGAATGGGACAGTGAAAAGGTGCGAGCAGCGCAAGCAAAGGTGGTTGCTCCAATGTGACAGGGAAGCGGTTGCAAGTACACGCACACACACACATAAACACACGCGCACACAAACACACGAGCGCGCGCATCAACTCACGGCGTGCATGCGTTCGCTCTCCGAGAGGGCGAGCGAGAACGAGTTGAGGGCGAGAGCGGTGTGTGCTTTGCTGCATGGTGCAGCATCCTGTGTGTTCTGTCCACAACACGTCCACTTGTTCTTCTTGAATGTCCCCGCGTGACACGCAGACCGAATGTACGCGCCACTTCCACGCAGAAACTCGCGAAAGAACTGAAAACAAAGTTTGTGTGTGTGTGTGTGTATGTGTGTGTGTGTGTGTGTGTGTGTGTGTGTGTGTGTGTGTGTGTGTGTGTGGAACACTCAACTTTTCACGTGCAACCGTGACAGTGATCGTCTGCGCACTCCACACGTACGCAACACAACACACCTTGAGCCAGGTGGTGACTTCTTGTGCAGAACTGAGCGACAGCACAACTCTTGAATCGTCCGTCAACACCTGCGTTGGTTGTGAACGAGTGCATCATGTAGGTGAAAGAAGAACAAGGTTTACCTTGTACGACAAACGTGCAAGCCCCGTACCTCACTTGCACACGCACACGCACACGCACACCACACACACACACGCACACCACGCACACACCACACACACACCACACACACACACACGCACGCACGCACCCATGCACGCACGCACACCACGCACACCACCACTGCATGGCTTGCTGGTAAGTACCTGGACGAGGTTTTTCTTGTCAAACGTGTTTGGTTCCATCCGCTCCACGTTGATCACGCTGCAAGTCATTGCGCAATCAATGCACCAACGACCCATGATCAGTCAAACACCAGGCCATCCATGAAAGAAAGGCGCTGACAGAGCATGCGCGCTCACATGGACAGTATGCACACACACACACACTGATGCACACTTGAATGTCTTCTACTCTCCTGTTTCACATACACAGACACGTACGAACATATGTACGTGCACGAACACTCGTGCTTGTGCACACGTACTCCTTCAGCAGGAGGCGCGCTGGCGTTTCGCTGGGCGACTTCTGCCACATGAGCATGTGCCGGGTGAGGCTGACAATCTTCTTCTTGAACGACTTGGCACCCGGCTCCAACACGGGCATCTTGGCCGATGCTGCAATCAGCGTGTCGCTCCCGGCATCCATCTGCACAGACTCCTTCGCATCTGTTGGCATGTGTGTATGTGTATGTGTGTGTGTGCGAACGGGTGGGAGCAAACAAAATCATGCTGGTGAGAGGTGAACATTCGTTCGCTTCAACACGCAAGCCCACACTGGTTCAAGGCCTGCCCAGGATCCGAGAGCATGTGCGCAAACGTACGGGCAGCAATGGCGCTGACGCGGCAGAGCTCGTCAATAAACGCCTTCACCCGGGGCACATTCTTGTCAATCACAGGGCCAAGCGGCGCCATGTATTGCTCCTGTGCACCAGTGTGTATGTGTGTGTATGCGTGTGCGTGTGTGTTGTGATGCGTACAATTAGCACATGAACACAGGCAGGATGCAATGTGACGCACATGTCCAATAATTGATTGACCTATGCACAGTAGTTCGCACATACCATCGCGCCAATTCACACCAGCAGGCACGGACCTTGACGGCGAAGTTTGAGCTACCGAGGTTGCCAATGGTCTGTAGCGCCTTGGCCAAGAGCGTCAGTGTTCGCGCCGTCGTCGCATCTGCCAGCTCCTCCCGCATCCCTGAATTCAGGGTGGTGGTGGTGGTGAGTGGCGGGCGGTAGTGGTGAGTAGTGGTGAGAGGCGGTCAAGTGGAGGTAAGCGGTGGTTTTGTGGTAGCGGTGGTTTAGATGCTGTGGCAAGTGGTGACGATTCGACTGCGTGGTCATGGGTGGTACCCTGTTTTACAGGGCGCACGTGTAGTGCGTGTGCCCTCACCAAAGAGCTTTGGGGAGAGGACGGCGGGGGCGAAGAAGCGCAGGAAGACAAATCCACTGACGGCGGTGTAGGGCGTGCTCGAATCGTCACCGCTCGTGCTGCTGGCCAGCGCCTCGTTCTGGCGTGATGGATTGTGGTGGTGGTGGTGGTGGTGGTGGTGGTGGTGGTGGTGGTGGTGGTGGTGGTGGTGGTGGTGGTGGTGGTGGTGGTGGTGGTGGTGGTGGTGGTGGTGGTGGTGGTGGTGGTGGTGGTGATGATGATGATGAACACGACTGAGCAACAGCGTGCAGGAACTTTTGGTGGAAACGTGTGACATCGTTCTTGTTAGCGCCACCACCACCACCACCACCACCATCATCAATCACCACCACCACCATCATCATCATCATCATCATCATCATCATCATCATGTCACCTGCTCGACGGCGCTGCGGATGTTTGAGAACACGGCGCGCATCGGCCAGGGGCACCTGGTGGCGATGACGGCGAATGGGTGGGGTGAGAAGTGGAGTGGAGTGAACACCGCGAGCAGGGCGGGCATATGGGGAGAAGAACTCGTCCATGAAGAACTAGTCAGCGGCGCACCAGCACACTGTCCCTCACCGAATTCTTCTTATCACCACCACTACCACTACCATCACCATCACCAACGCCATCATTAACGCCATCACCGCCACCACCACTCCTGCCAATTATCACCACCACCACCACCACCACCAATCACCTGGCGCAGGAGGAGAAGATTCTGTCGAGAATGCGTTCGAGGTAGCGCGTGAGGTCTGTTGCGTGGCGCTTGATTACGCTCGGCGAGCTGCTGCTCATCTGAACACGCGTTGGGGGGGGGCGCACCAGGCGGGAGGCAACAATAGAGCAGTGAATACGGGAACGGCATTGGTGTGATTGGTGGGGTGTGACAGCTGTTGGCGTGTGAAACCGCTTCAGCGTGCCCACACATCAGCACGACCATACTGCACACGCGCACACATCAGTACGCCCACACTGCACATCAATGCGACTGCCACTGCACCTTTGACGGGTCAATTTCGCAGTCCTTCTTCTCGTAGAAGATGTCATCGATGATCTCCTTGAGCGTTTCGTGCAGATACGGCAGCCCGACAATCTTCATAAAGTGGTCCGCGCACTGCACACACACGCGCGTACAAGACAGTATTCGGCGAGAAGCGAAGCAAGGATGAGAGCTGTGAGTCAGCACATTACAGACACAGACGCACGCACACGCACACACGCACACACGCGCACACACGCACGCACGCACGCACGCACGCACGCACACGCACACGCACGCACGCACACGCACGCACGCACACGCACGCACATGCACATGCACAAATACAAGTACGCAAGCGCACATACACAAGCACAGCTAAGGCAGCACAATCCCAAGAACACTGCACCTTGGATGCGAGGGAATTGCTGCGAAAGAGCGTGGCGCTGTTGTCCGATTTGGAGATGAGATCAATCGTCAGCGCTTTCAGACAGCTCACAGCCTGCATTTGTATGCGTGAGTGTGAATGTGAATGTGAACGTGAGTGCGCGCACGGGTGGCAGTCTGTGTGTGCACGTGTCATCATCTCAGATCACAATTCACCCCAGATCTCGCAATGCATGTCAGAGTGCGCATCTCACGTCGTCAGTGTTGAGTGCGAGCATCAGCGCAGATGCCGTACCGTCCCGATCAATGGTGCCGTCCGCAACAAGCGCTGCAGCGTTGCACATTGTGCATGTGTTGTGTAAGTGTTGCGTATGTGTGTGTGAGTGTGCGTGAATGTGTGTGAATGTGTGTGAATGTGTGTGTAAATGTGTGTGTAAATGTGCGTGCGTGCGTGTGGTGTGTGTGAATGTGTGTGTGTGTGTGTGTGTGTGTGTTCCGTGAGTTTCAACCGCGATTGTAGTCGCTCCCCATTGAAAAGCAGCAACACCAATTTCCAACGGCAGCAGCAGCATGGGTGCCTGCCACTGCGGTGCCATCGTCACGTACATTGGAGCAGCCCAAGCCATCCGCGTGTCGCCACGTCTGGGCGCCCAATATCGCTCTGGTGGTGAACACACAGCGATCAACGCAGCCAAGCGGTAGCGAAGGGGGCGGTGAGGGGTGAGGGTGTGGTGCGACAGACAGTTGTGGGCGGTGGAACAATACTGTCCATAAAGTACACGACACACGAATGTGCAACACACAAGGGCACCCCGTGCAGGGGGAGGCGGGTGCGCGGGGCTCACTCACCAGGAGATATGAGAAGAGCGGGTGGTAGGCCGAGATGGGCATGATCAGCTGATGCGTCAACTGCAAGCCAGTGGCAAGTGGAGGCATTGGGGGAAAGGGGAAGGGGAAGGGGTTGTTAGTGTGTGTGTGTGTGTGTGTGTGTGTGTGTGTGTGTGTGTGTGTGTGTGTGTGTGTGTGTGTGTGTGTGTGTGTGTGTGTGTGTGTGTGTGTGTGTGTGTATCTAAATGAGCTGCTCCGTATCACCATGCCACTGCCTACGTCTACAGTATCCGACGGCAGTCAGCTTTCCGTCGACTGATTAAGGTCCTCCGGTGTTAGTGTTGGTGTGTGGAGAAGGTTGCGTCTGACCTGGAGTTGACCCGGAAGGTGTCGATTCGTCTATAGGAGAACAGGCAGTATACTAGGTAGATAATAATGCAGTATTGTGTACGCTATTATCCTGCCTGTATAGTATGTATACCAATGCTTTCGGCTAGCACAGTGACGAAACAAACAACAATGACTATCACTCTCTCTCTCTGTTACTCAATGAGAACCTACCTACAAAGTAGACATGGGCAGCCTTCAGATTTCTGGGCGGAGATGACGGCATCATGACGTAAACGGCATGTCTGATGTCTACGAGTGCTGAACCATGAACAATGCTAGC